GGCCGCGCCTGCGCTCAGAGGGCACCGCGGGGCCGGCGGGCGCGGGCAGGCCCCTCGTACGGGGGCCGGCAGCTCATACCCGCACCCCCCGGTCCCGTCCTCTCTCGCCGCCTCCGGGCTGGCGCCGCAGGGTCCCCGGTGGGCGCTCGCCCTCCCCTCTGCGGTAACGGGGCTGCTTCGGGGCCGTGCGGCGGCGTGGGGGTGCGCAGAGGTACCCCCCGTTCGCCGTCACGCCTGTCTGTGGGGGTCCGTCTTCACCGTCATCCCCGTTAAAAGTCGGGTGGGGTGGTTTAAAGGTGAGACAAGGGAGTTAGGGTGTCGTTGTCTTGAAAAACACAGAAGAGTGACAGTCTTCATACTAAGTTAATTGTTCTGCTACAGGCAGGGCGGCAAACCTTGCATGCCTATGCAGCGCTGAGCGAGACCTTTGATTTTCAAATTTAATGTACACATGACAATGAAAAAAACTATGCTTGGCAGAGAGGTTTATAAGTAATGATATTTTGGCCAAGGTTGTGTTGGATTTCATTATTTTCCTTGTTCAGTAATTCTAAACGAGCAGCAGGGCTGCTTCCTTGGTAATACTAAGCATGGCCTCAAGTATTACCCTAGTTTAGTCTCCATCTCTATAGATCTTATTTATACAGAATTGGGAACCTAATGCCTATCTGGGGGTAGGATCACTGGCCACTTTGATGTATGATTTCTTTCACAAAAGGTAAGTTTGCACCCAGACATTAAGAGCTTTATGAACATTAAAGATTTATTAAACTTTATGAACATTGAGAACATTAAGAACTCTTTAGGTAGAGCGAATACCAGCATGCTAATAACCCAAGACAAAAAGAGACCTTTTCCTAGGTTAGAAGTAGAATCACTTTACGTGAATGCTAGTGGTTTGTGTGGATGTGTATCAAAGTAAAACCTGGAAGTAAAAAATAATGAAATGACAGAAAATAAATGTATTTAAGCCAATGGATGTCTTTTAATTCACTTACTAGTTCCACAGACTGGCATCTGCTTATTGTTCAAGAAGTGTCTCAAATTGTCCCTTTCACAATAAATACTAAAAAAATCGTGTTCCTTGCTTGTCCTTCCATAATTCAGCCTTTTGCAAGAGCCAGTTTAATCAGGCTAACAGAGAACCATGGACAAGACAAAAATGCTGGCTGTTGGCCATACTCAGTAACTCCTTCAGATATATTTGACAAGTCATTGGATGACACTAGAAAAATTGTAACAATGTTTTCTTTGGACCCATGCAATCCTATTACTTGTCTTTCTCATTTGTTTTAGAGTTGATAAACAGAAAAGGAGCACAATCCCTGTGCTATTAATGTCTATTAACCCTTTCAGTATACGTCATCTGGTGGGGACAGTATTCTTCCATTTTTTCCAAATGAAAAATTTGGCCATGTGGTTAAAAGTATTGAAAATAATAGTATTGCTGCTAATTTTTTTTTATGAGAGAAATACCTGAAACCTCCAGAACTTGGAAAGTTACACTGCTTAGCCTCTAGTACAGTAGCTGAACTTCTCACCATGTATTTGGATCACAGGAAATAGCAGGTGCCAAAGCAGCTGTGGGATAACCAGGGAGAGCTCAAAGGGTAGATGGATAGCCAGGAACCATGTGGGGCTGCTCAGTGAAAGTTGCCTCAGACTGAAACGGTCTGCACAGCCAACAGAAAGCTAAGTGGCAAAAATTGAGAGGTTTTGCATAGCCTGTTTCTACACTAGGAAGGGAAGACCATTAGGGATACATTATTTCCACTAGGCATGTCTTGGGCACCTGTTTCTGGGAAATACATCATGATTTTTATATGCTTCTCAATATATTTTTTCCCCTAATAATTTATACGTTTGCTGGCTTCTTGTGCTTTTATGAATTTAAACAGAGGCATAGTACCCGATCAATTTGCAAAATTTGCCATGCATTTTATAGGCTTTCATAAATTTTAACCATTGTGTACATCAGCTTTTATTGCCTGGCCCTGTATTGCTCAGATGGTCCAGTGTTCATATACATGTCTTATTATTTATGTTACCTGGACTTCTGTGTATGTTAGTGAACTTTACAGACAAAAAATTACAGTGTAAAAACAAGCGGAAACCAGACTTCTTTCATTATAATTTTAGAAATTGTGGGTTAATGTTCTTAAAGTACGGCCAGTACAAGCATTGCTAAAAATGCAATCTCTCAGTTGTCTGGCTTGGTGAAATTCTGAGTATAAACTCAAGCAACCTCATGGTGTCTTCATGGTGGATCCGTGGTTCCTAGAAACAACTACTTAGCTGCCCTGTTTGTGTGCTTGAACTACACTATGATTATATACATTGTATGTGCTAATTTATAGTAATGCTGTCAATATATTGGCCACACTTGAAGACTAACAATTTTCTGTTACTCATCAAGAATCCATCCATTCCCTTAAAGAGAGTGAACACTAGATAAAGGTAGAGAATTTTACCCCTCTTTATCTGTCGCTTAGCTACTCAAGCTGAAAGTAAACACATTTATTTCCTCTTAAAGTTTGGTGTCTTGGTGTTCACACCTGACAATTAAATTTATGATGCTTTGGTTAGACTAGTCACTTCTTTTATTCTGACTAAAGTTATTCTTGTGCAGGTTTCTGCTTTTTAAATAAGTGAATCCATAAATCCTTCAGGTATTTTGGCAAGGTTTTGTGATGAACTGGTCCATTAAGAACTAAGTGTCTAGATTTGCAGGAGTGCTCAGCACTGCTGAAAATCAATTCCTCGGGTTATTCTGGTGCTTTATCATTTAATTTTTCATCTCTTCTTTTGTTCTGTACAGCCTCACCTCATGCCTTCTGTCTCTCACTTGTCCTTTGGTTGCTACCATAGCTTGTTCCTATCCTTGGGCTCATTTGAGCTTTTGGTTTCAGAGTATTTTTCTTCTATTCCAGATGCTTTGTTTTCATATTTGGTGGCCTTCCTGATTCTAAAGCCTTTCTTTCTCTAAACCTTACCTGGTTTTATGAGTCATATATCCACATATTTCTTCTCTTTTAATATCAGTTATGGTGTGCTTCATGTTTTTATATTAAAAGCAATTGATTTTAGCCACAGATATAATCATGTCAGATCTCCTGAAGAACAGGAATATGAAGTCATAAGAAAATCAAGAGGTTATTTGAAGAATTGCACCCCTGAGGTTTGACAGAATCAGACGATTAAAAAAAAATCAACAGAGACATAATTATAGTCACTTTGAAGTTACATATTTTAACTGGAGGAAAATAGGAAGGAAATACTACTAGATTTGGAGACGCTCCAATTTGTCACAGATCAAGAAATTTAATTCATTGTGAATTGTCCTGTATGATCAGGACATTTCTCTGTTAATCAGAACAATGTATAAACAGAGGATTTTCTGTAGGACATATAAATTTTGGTTAAAAGGCAAAGACTTTTAGAAATAATTCTGAGCAGAGAAAAGTAATTCTAGGAGAGCAAAATGTATTTAAAAACTTGGGGAAAAGAAAAAATGTAAACCCCAGCTTACATGCAACAAATACACAGGGATTTTTGTGACTTCTTTTGTGGTTTGTGATTTTTTTATGTCTTCTTGTTCCCATTTGTTTGTCTGTTCCCTCTGTTCTAAGTCCTTTCTCTGTACTTAGTGAGGGAGCAGCAGCAGAACAGGGTATATGTATGCACACCTCTGCCAAACCCATTTGGAGTAGTATGTTACATCTTCCTTAAAGTCTGAATTAGGTATGGTTTTAACACTGTGAAATGGAGTGGCTGTGTATTCTATCCTTGCATCCCTGCTCTAAGGGCAGTAAGGGAATGTAGGGGACTGAGGTGGATGTGTTAGGGCAGTAACACTGCAATATAGCATCTTATGATAAAATCATTCATTAAGTGTAAACATTATACATAACAGTTCTGCAAAAAATGTCAAATTCATTATGTAACAGTTAAGTCAAATATGTTTACAAAGAAAAAAATTAAAGAAGAAATTACAGATATAGACTAGATTTGTTTTTTAAACTGCAACAAAAATATGTGTAGCATTTAAGAGAACTATGATGAAAGGATATCAGCTACTGGAAACAAAAAACCACAAGGGCTCTAACAAAGACCAAACGAATTTCAAATGGTACTGACTTATATGATACAGAAATGTTCTACTTCTCATTTATGTCTGCCTAAAGTATGGGTTGATAAAGCTTTTTGTCTCCATACATCCATTAAAAGGACACAATAAACTTATAATTATTAATAATTATTTTATAAAATAATAACCAATTTCAGTTAGAATGAGTTTATTTAAAGACCAGCTATGCAGCATGACCTGCTAGCAACCATAGAATCAAAATTTCTGTTAAATAGGGGTGCTAGAGATCTGGAAAAAAAAACTTAGCAACAGTGGTTTTACGTTCTACTATTACGAGAAGAAGAGTTTTCTAGAGGTTATAATCTGCTCAGTGAGTCAAAAAATATTATTTTATTAAGACAGAAAAACCTTTTTAGTTCACTTGCATTTATGTGTATAACTTATGATTATTCATTTATATTACAAATGCAAATTGTGTCCTGGATTTTTACAGTGCTATTTGTAAACATAAAGATATTAGCCCTAATATACAGAACTTTTGTAATATTACACTTTTATTAAGTGTACAGCTATATAGACTGCTGTAGCATTAATTATAATTACTTTAAAGCAAGTAAATCCTTACTTTAAAATATTATTCTTTTAAAATGAAAAT